CCTTTTCTTTCTGTTCGTGTTTTACAACAACTCGCAATGGCCAACATCAACAAATTTCCTCATGCAGCTAACATAATCTGTAATAACATCTATGTGGATGATGTCATGGCTGGCGGAAATTCCATAGATGCTGTTATTAATCTCAAAACGGAATTAGTTAATTTGCTTGAGTCTGGAGGCTTTCATCTTCGTAAATGGAGCTCCAACTCCACGGCAGTTCTACAGACGGTGCCTGCTGAAGACTGTGAGGCGTTTTCGAAACACAAAAATGGCGGTTCAGACTACATCAAAATACTGGGTCTTTATTGGAATCCCAAGCCAGATAAGTATTCGTTTCATGTTGGAACACCCACTGTAATCAACGCAACTAAACGACACATCCTTTCAGAAATTGCTCGCATATTCGATATTTTTGGGTTTTTAGCACCAGTTGTGGTCAAAATTAAAATCCTTTTCCAAGAGATATGGTTAAGAAATGTCAGCTGGGATGACCCACTACCAGATAGCAGCACTTGGCGACATATACGAGAAACATTGCATTTGTTAGAAGCGATCTATTCCAAGAAACATTTTGAATCCTGCAATGCAATTCGAACTTCATTGTTTTTGTGATGCCCCAACGTCCGCATATGCTGCTGTTGTCTATAGTGTATGCACTAAGGAAGGTATAAGGCCAATTTCGATGGTTGCTGCAAAGACAAGAGTAGCACCACTCAAGGCGGTGTCTATACCGCGCTTAGAGCTGTGTGCCGCGCTCCTGTTAACACGCTTATACAATTCGATAAAAGTTTTACTCAACATCGCAGACGTAACGATATATGCTTGGGAAGGTTCTCAGGTTGTCCTTCATTGGTTATCGTTATGGAAAATGTTTATCGGAAATAGAACCGAAGAAATTCTTGACTGTTTATCAAGAAGCAAATGGAACTACATTGAAAAAAAGGAAAATCCCGCGAATTGTGCATCCCGGGGGCTCACACCGGAACAACTCCTTCAACATAAGCTATGGTGGACAGGCCCAGATTGGTTGAGGAAGCCAAACTCATTCTGGCCTAAACATACGCCAATAGAAGGATGTGAACTGCCAAATGATATCTTGGAACAACGCAAAACAGTACTACATACCATAACTCGTGAAAAAGAGTCATCGATTCTTATCGACTATGCACATAAGGTGTCATCATTCCAGAAAATGATCAATGTCATCGCATACGTTTTTCGATTCATATCACAGCTGAGGCATAATCGCGAGATTCACGCTATTCATTTGGAGCACAAAGAACTACAAAAAGCACGCTATGCATTATTTCGTGCTATTCAGCAGGAATCTTTTGAAGATACGTTTCGACGATTGAAAACCAATTCCCATAAGAGGGACAAACTTATGCAATTATCACCATCTATCGATTCTGAGGGTGTTCTTCGTGTGGGCGGCCGTATTGAGCGCGCTACATTATCTTACAATATAAAACATCCTATCATTCTTCCGAAACATCATGTTAGCAGACTGATCGTCGAAGATCTACACAAAATGTATCTGCATGTAGGGGTTAACGAGCTGTTTGTTATCGTTCGACAGCGCTATTGGATTATTGGCGCCAGAAATATAATCCGGTCCGTGGTATATCAGTGCAAGCAATGCTTCATACTACGGAAGCAAACTTCTGCGCAGCGGATGGCAGATTTGCCAGCAGTGCGTCTGGAGCCAGCTAGAGCATTTCTAAACTCAGGATGTGATTTCGCAGGACCGATTAACATCAAAATGACCAACTGTAAGCGTCCAAGAATTTGTAAATCATACATATGTCTTTTCGTATGTTTGTCCACGAAGGCGATCCACATTGAATTGGTCACTGACTTAACAGGCGAGGCCTTTATTGCGGCATTCAAACGCTTCACTTCGCGACGCGGCAAGTGCAGCAATTTGTATAGCGACAATGGCACCAATTTTCATGGTGCTCATCGCTTGTTGACGGACATGCATAAAAGTTTACTCAAAGAATCTTTCAATCATGAAACCTATTCTCACTTGGCTAAATATGGCCCACCGTGGCACTTCATCCCACCCTCGTCGCCACATTTAGGTGGGATATGGGAGTCAAACGTGAAGTCCATTAAGCATCATCTACGAAGAGTGATAGGTGAAACCCTACTATCATTCGAAGAGCTATACACTTTGTTGACGCAGATTGAAGCTATACTGAATAGCAGACCATTGAGTAGTATTTCAGACGTAGACCAAAACCCACTGACGCCATCGCATTTTTTAATTGGAGAGCCATTGACTGCCATTCCGGAACCTACAATATCAACTAAATTCTCACTGAAATCTTCATGGAATCATATTCGCAACATGGCACAGGGTTTTTGGAAACGCTGGAGTTTGGAGTACATAACTTCCCTAAAACATCGCACTAAATGGACTACCGCTCAACCTAACATTACAGCTGGAAAACTCGTAGTGATCAAGGATCCCAGCGTTCCTCCGACAAAGTGGATGTTGGGCAAAATCGAAGAAGTCCATGCCGGTACCGACGGGTGCGTGAGAGTTGTCACAGTACGCACTGGAAAGGGGACTTATAAACGACCGATCACGAAAATCGCCTTGCTACCAACTTCTGGCTGAAACTATGGTTCAGGGCTGGCGGTATGATGAGAAATTAAATCACCTCTACATTCCATACTTTATTACACCAAAATGCAACCTTGCTTTGTACACCACTGCAACCCTTGTATACGTATTTTATCATAAATTCATTAGCCTTTGTTACTGTAACTTCGCACAAGTTCTAGAATAAAGACAGCCATTGGAAAATTAGAAATAACCACGTTATTATTCAACAATTAAGATAAATGGTCAAATCTTGTCAATATGTGAGTGTCGTAAAGTTTTG